TCCATACTACAAGACAGTGATTTTTGAGCTTGGAACAGGAGTTAGTTTGTCGGCGAGATGGACCAAGTGGTTAGAGCGCGAATTTACTGACCGGAAGGTTCGTGGTTCGAACCCAACCTCTGCCACTCGACTTCCCCTGTCCAGGCTTGGGCGACCTGGAAGTATCCCAGCCCTCGTGCCTCCGTGTGGCACGGCAGCTAGGCACCGAAAGGGTGCTACAACTGGACGAATTTGTCGGTTTGTCCAAGTCTGCGGTGCAAAGTGGTACGGCACGCTGCCGTACCTTTCAAATGGGCGTTGCCACCGGTCGTGTCTGTCCAAAGGTGAACGAGAAGTTGACTCCCTGCACTGCCCTACAAGCATGGCGGTTTCCACGAACAAGTCACGCTAGATGAAAAAGGGTCGGAGGCTGCCAAATTGCAAACTCCAGTCACAAAAAACGTGTACATATCATCAGAAGACCATGGATTGATTCACATGGTTCTGCGGTAGAAAAGCTACTGTGGAAATTCATCGAGTAAAGACGGTGCTGATCTGACATTTGTGATCGTTAACCAAAGCCCACGACTTCCCGATTGCAAAAGTGATTAAACGTATCCGTTCTAGACTTGGAAAATTGGGGGATAACGTAAAACAGTTATAACCTGAAAGGAATTCGCACAAATGACCTCAAAGTATTAACGAATGGCTCTCGAATCAACGTGGTGCCTCGGTAAAATCAAGCTTCATCATTTCACATCATATAGGTCCCGATTCGAAACCTAATATTCCGCTCTGATCCACAATGTTCTTCCAGAGTTTGTATCACGGAAGCCAGTTCTTCGGCTTGATCCGCTGTCGCTCAAGACGATGTTTCTAAAAGCGAATAATGAACCCACCAATCCTTTCGCAGACAGCAACGCTGATCGAACCAGAGGAAATAGAGTACGGCCATTCCCTACTGCGGACGCTTGCTCCAGTTTCTGGCTTTTCGTTTTACGCCAGCGCCCTCCGTATTTCCTAGGACTATTGATTATGAGGCGATTGGGGATGGGTGCCCAAAAATAGTCGCTGGCAGCTGGTGTGGTTTCTCTGGCGTCAGTGCTACCTGTTGATGGTGTCGTACAGCTCGGACATAAAAGTTGACGATCGTTTGCATTCGCTTTCCACGCAATCTTCATTGTTGTTGAGTCTGCGAACCCATTTTAATCATTGATCCAATTTCGCTAGACACCTGCAAGAATCATACTATCTGTGGGTTTCGCTGAGAGATCTCGATAGAAGTCCGGTTCCTCTGGGTGTGAGATCCTATCCGTCGGAGTGTACACCGATCTTAACAAGTTAGCCAACATAAACGCTGGAGTAAAAACACGTGCTGGACACTAGTCCAGTAAAACAACTTCGGCCATAGGCAAACACCATTGCATCAAGATCACTGGACAATCAAGAGACGTGGAAAACCTGGGTTCACCGAAATCAGTCTACGCAGGAGAACCTTGCTGTTCAAACAGACAGATAGGGTGCGGACGGTAAAAAGGTGCAACTTGGGTAAGATCCTCTAAAGTTATTGAGATTAGATGTTGATTTATTTCTCAGGGTGGTTAGGCACTGCTACGCCCAAGAAGCTTAAGCCGAACGCGATTCGCCAGAAAATCGGGTTACTGACTGATCCAGTACCACGACGAGCTCTGATTGGCCGAAGGTATGGATCCAACAGCCAATCATGATTCAGTATATGCCAGATACCAGTTACCAATAGCGCGTTCAGGCGTAGGAATTCCCAGAATGCTGCCATACACTTTAAATACGACGCGCTGTACACGTGTCTTTTATCCTATTTTGGGCGTTTACTACATCTTGTACACGTCTGGTGGTTGTGTTCGTGAAAACGCTAGCTCAGAAGCTTAGAGAACTGAGGTGATGCATTACCGTTACTACAGCGCAACTACTTGCAGTAAACACGTTTTTACATTCTATCCAGATTTTCTGATTGGGCGCTTGGAGGTGTAGGCAGCTCAGAATACTTGACCTATGTCAGCATCAAGACCCCTCCCTCACCCCCTCTTTTTATCGTCTATTCACTCTAGGGCTTCGAATATAATTAGACGAACTTTATGGTTGTACGGCAGTGAAACATCAGTGTCAACACTGATGTTGCTGCCTTTGATGATGATTTTCCTAAATACCAGAGCATTTGCAGCAATATTGAGTGAGCAATTGATTGTACACTTGCCAACTTATTGTCATCAGAAGTCGCTCAGACCTCCTCGAACAGGCATCTGTGACAGAACCGTGATTTGTTGCACAAAAGGTGTTCTAGTCCCTACGTGCTTGTTTGAAAAAATCTAGGCACCGGAAAGAACAGCCGTCAGCTTCGCCTCCTTTGTGGCTTATACTTGTCCAGTGGGAGAATAGCGAACTGAGTCTTGTTCATTCGATTGTTTGCACAACTTGCAGCAGCTTTTCAGTTCAACGAACACTGTCAATGAGAAGCTTCACAGGATTTGACAAAGTATCGTTGTACTATACCGATTGATGATATCCAACGCTGTATTATGCTAGTCGGGGCAGTCATTTGGGTGCCGCCATAACCAACTATCAGTGTTCGGAAGCGCTTGATACATTGACGTCGACTTGAATATGAAACAATATCTGCCGCTCCTGCGCTGGGGGTCGAGTGGAAATGCCAACCGCGGGCTCCCGACGGGCACAGCTGTCCGACTGAGAATTACTCATTCAAACTAGACTGCAGATGATGTCTTGCCAGTGATCGATATTTGACTACAACCCGATGTACGCGAATGCGTGGGGACGCAGATCTGTAGCGCGAGATGCATGGCTCGGCTGGCATGATCTAGGGAGAATGAAGGTAACATATGAGTCCCAAAACGCATAGGGCATCATCGATTTTGTCCGGTAGGGTACACTCTTCAAGAACGCTCGATGTACGCAGTTTGACGCTGACACCAACCAATGAAAACTGCCATCCGATCTGACTATGTTCTTAGCAGAGCAACAAGAATCACACGATTGGACTGATCTTTCGCCACCTTACAAAGGAACAATGTGAACGGTTACAAAATTTCCCGTGTTGGCAGTTTCATTCAAAAGTTGATTGACGACCATCATGCCATGAACGAGGAGGTGGTTTTGTGTTATCCCCGCCCCCTGGGCACCGACAAATTCGACTTCCAAAGGTCACATACCACCCGAGTCTGGTGGGAACATGTGAAGTACGTCGAATGGTTTTCGAAAGAAATAACTCGCCCGAGATAGGAATTCAAGACAACGTGTAATTAGTACGCATATGGTGTCCCGTTCTAATGTGACATTTGTTCAAAAGCAGGCTCACCCAATTCGGACTTGCTATCAAAGTTGAAAAAGTGAAACTTACCGTCCCTCGGTAGCAGATAGCTCAGACTGCGCATAAAACTGTCGACGATTTCGGGGTTCGACAACACCACGTTTGCCATCAACCGCGATCGGATCTGTGGAAGGACGACGTCCAGTTTTCAAACAATCTACCGCCACGTCGTTTGGATCGCGTTTGTTGGCTACTGCCAGACACAGAGCAACGGCACCGCGCCACGCTCCACAGGCCTCTAAACGTGTCACCGCTCCTTCCAAATCAAGACCTGGCCCAGCTTCTGCATACAGCTCCTGCGCATTCGCGATGAGTTCGTCAATTCGAGACAAGGTGTCGTCCACGGAGGCGTCAACCGGTGATTCGGCTTCCACAGTCGGAAGAGTGGAGCGTAACAGAATAGCCTGTTATATGAAGCAAAAAAGCACACGGATAATGCATCAGTGAAAGCAACATGAACTGTTTGGAAATCTGATGGAAAACGTTCGAACCTCTACTTGAGGATAAGCTGAAGTGCTGCTTAGCTGCTCTCAATGTGCAATCTTGTTTTTCGACCCTACTGGATGATGCACCAGCGATCACGATCACCCGTCAGACGAGCGGTTTTTTTTTTGGGGGGGGGGCTTGGCTAATCCTGCTCTAAATGTGCAATCTTGTTTTTCGACCCTACTGGATGATGCACCGGCGATCACGATCACCCGTCAGACGAGTGGTTTTTTTTTTGGGGGGGGGGCTTGGCTAATCTTAACCCGGCCTTTCTCGGGGGAGGGCTGCACCACCACATCTTAGTGCCCTCGAAAAGGACAGTCAGACTGCTCGCAGTACGGGGTTTCGCTGCTCTTTGTCTGACCACTCCCCACAAGCCTTCCTGGCTTGGTTGCACCTTATGGAACGAAGTTCCAGCCAATGGAGTCTGCGGTACACTCGCCCGTGTCTGACCACTCCCCATAAGCCTTCCTGGCTTGGTTGCACCTTATGGAACGAAGTTCCAGCCAATGGAGTCTGCGGTAGCACTCGCCCGATCACCACGACCCAGTGGGAAAGGGAAGTGAAAAAGTAACAAGGTCTCGACGAACGGCATACTCAGAGGCCCGGGCAGAAAGGGTACGTTTTAGTGAAAAAACGGCAATGCTTCGCGACAGGCGGGAAATCACCCAGAAATTAAGTGAGGTGCGGATGAAAAACTGCGATGATAATGGGAAGCAAAATACAGAAGGCGACCAGTGGAAGAACCTACTTGAATCAAACACTCGCTAGCCTTGGCACTGATCGCATCTTCATTGGCAAACAGAGTCGGGCAGTTGGACCGCAGACGAGTGGTTATAACATCCAAACTGATACCACTGTCCACATCCCGTCCGGATTCGGTCAGGTAGTACTCTATCAGAGCATTTATTAGCGCGGAAATTAAATCTAAACCGACGTTGGCACCAAACGACGCGTGAGGAGGGGTTGTTGGCGAAGTTGGGGTAGTGAACTCCTTTTGTATCAACAACGGCTGTGCGGTGGATTGACTAGAATCTAGCAGGCAAAGAGTGTATGACTCAAATGGGACTTGGAGTAGTAGGGCCCGTTGGTCGCTCGTCAGATTCCTAAACAACAGAAGGAGTTAAAGCAAACACAAAAGGTTAGTCGGAAGCACAACATTGTCGAAAACGGGTAGACATTATAGGAGGAAAACTAAATGACTTTTTCCTTGGAGAGCCGCAATCTCGGCAGGATAGTTATCCGCCCGAATCAACAATAAAATCGTTCCAAAAGGTCAAAAGAATTTCAGGGGTAAATAGTAAGACAACTGTACAAACATAGAGTTGCGTGGCATATGTTGGACACGTTTCCAGTCTCACATAACACCAAGTAAACGCATTTCCTAGTATCCGGGTTCAATGAGCACTCGGGACCGGTTAGAACTACGTATCTCCTGGCGCGTCCTTTGTCCGTGGATAGGGAAATGTCTATCTTGTGGGGCTAGCTTTGAATAAACTACAGCACGGTCGGTGGAACTGCCAGGGCGGGGTCTGCCGTTTCCCTACATAAGA